TGCTAGGATTACAGGTGTGAGTTACCGCGCCTGGCCCACACCCAATCTTTAAATATTGTTTTAGAGGACTCCACTCTGACCTCTCTTTCCCCCCACTGCAGTTCATCTGACCCCTTCCCCTGTGCTGCTGGGTATATACTGTTGCAAACTATCCTAGTGCAAGAGACCTCACCTTGGCAGGTCCAGTGAGGATTTACTTTGGCTGGGATTGTCCTCCCCTAAGGAGGTGCCCATTTACTTCCAAACCAAAACCGAGCCCCTCCTGTGTGTGACCTGGGGCAGGTGGCTTAGCCACTCTGGGCCTCAGTTTCCTCACTTTGCTAACTGGGTTAAAAAAAAATAGTTCTTTAGCTAGGTGTGGTGGCAGGCACCTGTAATCCAAGTTACTTGGGAGACTGAGGCAGGAGAATCGCTTGAACCTAGGAGGCGGCAGTGACAGCGAGCCGAGACCAGGCCTCTATACTCCAGCCTGGGCAACAAGAGTGAAACTCCGTCTCAAAAACAAACAAACACACACAAATAGTTCCTCAGCCAGGTGCGGTGGTTCACACCTGTAATCCCAACACTTCGGGAGGCCGAGGCGGGCAGATCACTTGAGGTCAGGAGTTTGAGACAAGCCTAGCCAACATGGCGAAACCCCATCTCTACTAAAAATACAAAAATTAGCTGAGCATAGTGGTGTGCACCTGTAGTCCCAGCTACTTGGGAGGTTGAGGCAGGAGAATCACTTGAACCTGGGAGACAGAGGCTGCAGTGAGCCAAGATCGTGCCACTGCACTCCAGCCTGGGTGAGAGAGCAAGACTCTGTCTTAAAAAAAAAAGTTCCCCCAAGCTGGGCATGGTGGCACATGCCTGTAGTCCCAGTTACTTGGGAGGCTGGGGCGGGAGGATGGCTTGAGCCCAGGGGGTGGAGGCTGCAGTGAGCTGTGACTGTGCCACTGTGCTCCAGCCTGTGAGACAAAGCAAGATCATATCTCAAAACAAAAAACAAAAACATGGCCCGAACATGATTAGGGCTACCAGTGAACATTAGCCTTTACGCCAGTCACTGGGGCAGCGGTACATGACTCAGTTTCTCCCCATCACTGCTGACTCTGCATGTTTTCGTTCCTCCCACTGCAATTGAGGAAACAAAAATCCACTGTCACTTCTCTCTCACCATATCCCTGACTTCTAGCAATGCATGTACTCCACACCAGGCATGTATCACATATTCAGGTTATAAAACCTGACTCTGGGTGAGTGGTTTTTTTGTTTTGTTTTGAGACGGAGTCTCGCTCTGTCCCTTAGGCTGGAATGCAGTGGCACGATCTCAGCTCACTGCAACCTCCGTCTTCTGGGTTCAAGTGATTCTCCTGGCTCAGCCTCCCGAGTAGCTGGGACTATAGGCACGTGCCACTACTCCCGGCTAGTTTTTTGCATTTTCAGTAGAGACAGAGTTTCACCATGTTGGCCAGGCTGGTCTCAAACTCCTGGCCTCAGGTGATCCGCCTGCCTTGGCCTCCCAAAGTGCTGGGATTACAGGCGTGAGCCACTGCGCCCGGCCAGGTTAGTGTTTTGATCTGCCCTCTTCTCCCACTTGGCTTGGACCTCATTCCCTGGCCAGCTCAGACAGCTCTCTGATGTTCTGCATTCTACCTGAAGCTGCTGAAGACCAAAATAGCCACTGAGCGTGTGACCTGGGGCGTGGGCTTCCAAACAGGGCTCAGGGGCAGCCTAGAGAGCTCTGCCCTTGGTGTTGGAGGAATTCGGGGGTGGAGCCAGTAAACACCATAGTACCAGCCAGGCACAGTGGCTCACGCCTGTAATCCCAGCACTTTGGGAGGCTGAGGCGGGCGGATCACCTGAGGTCAGGAGATCGAGACCAGCCTCAACATGGAGAAACCCCGACTCTTACTACAAATACAAAATTAGCCGGGTGTAGTGGCACATGCCTGTAATCCCAGCTACTCAGGAGGCTGAGGCAGGAGAATTGCTTGAACCTGGGAGGCGTTGCAGTGAGCCGAGATTGCACCATTGCACTCCAGCCTGGGCAACGAGAGCGAAACTCCGCCTCAAAAAAAAAAAAAAAAAATTAAATTAAATTTAAAAAGAAAATTAGCCAGGCATGGTTATATGTGTCTGTAGTCCCAGCTACTCGGGAGGCTGAGGTGGGAGAATCGCTTCAGCCATGGAGGTTGAGGCTGCAGTGAGCTGTGATCGCTCCATTGCTCTCCAGCCTGGGCAAAAGAACAAGATCCTGTCTCAAAAAAAAAAAAAAAAAAACAGTGACCCAAGTCCGAGGTCCAGCTCTGTTTCTGAAGATGTGGCCAGAAACTCAGCTTTCATTTTCTGCCTGGTTTTAGAGGAATTCTGGTCTCTGACGAAAGTTGGCAGAATGTGCCTGGGGACGTGCTGGGTGTTGGGATGCAGCTCTAACAGAACAACATGTCCTTCTCGGGAAGTTCTCATCTCTATGTCAGAGGAAATGGGAAGCCAACCAGAGAGGCTGTGACTATACTAAATGATATCTGCTTAATAATACCTGGGGGGGCCAGAGGCGGTGTTTCATGCCTGTAATCCCAGTACTTTGGGAAGTTGAGAAGGGTGGATCACCTGAGGTCAGGAGTTCGAGACCAGCCTGGCCAACATGGTGAAACTTCCTCTCTACTAAAGATACAAAATTAGCTGGGTAAGGTGGCACTCACCTGTAATCCCAAGCTACTCGGGAGGCTGAGGTGGGAGAATCGCTTGAACCCGGGAGGCAGAGGTCGCAGTGAGCCAAGATCACACCACTGCACTCCAGCCTGGGCGACAAGAGTGAAACTACGTCTCAAATAAATAAATACATAAATAATTTCTGCTTAATAATACCTGGGGGACTAAATAATCTGTACAACAAACCCCCATGACACGAGTTTATCTATATAACCTGCACATGTGCCCCATAACTTAAAAGTTAAAAAAAATTAAAAATGATTTCTGGCCAGGCGTGCTGGTCCACACCTGTAATCCCAGTACTTTTGGGAGGCCAACGGGGCAGATTGCTTGAGCTCAGGAGTTCGAGACCAGCCTGTGCAACATAGTGAAACCCCCGACTCTACAATTAGCTGGGTGTGGTGCCACACACCTGTAGTCCCAGCTACTCAGGAGGCTGAGGTGTGAGGATCAGTTGAACCCTGGAGGTCAAGGTTGCAGTGAGCTATGATTGTGCCACTGCACTCCAGCCTGGGTAACAGAGACCCTGTCTCCAAAATAAAATAAAATAAAATAAAATAAAATAAAATAAATAAAATAAAATAAAATAAAATAGAGAAAGGAAATAATTTCTGAGCTTTATTGCTCTAAAGAGGATGGAACCAGGGAATAAGATGGAAATACTAGGGGGTAGCAGTGGGGTCATTTCAGCCAGTGAGGGCCAGAAGGAACCCTCAGAGGAGGTAATAGGATAGCAGGGAGGTGACAGCCAGAGAAGGCCCCAAGGAGAAAGTGACAGTTCACCCCTTGGAGGAGGTGACAGCCAGGGAGAGGAGGGCCCCTGGGAGAAGGCGACATTGGAACACTGGAGCTGAGGGCTGAAGGCGGCCAGCTTCGCAGGTACCTGCGGGGTGTGTTCCGGCAGAGGGAACAGGAGGTGCAATCGCCCTCCCCCATTAGCCTCCTAGGACCATGGGGTCCTGCAGAGAACCTTCTGGCACCACACAAATGTGGTTGCCGTGTTTTTCCTTTTTTACTCCGTCCTCCCCTACCCCCGCCAACTCCCTGGCCTGAATGCCGCTCCTGTGACCCCTCGAGGTGAGTGACCTCGGGGAAGTGGCAATCTGTGCCTCAGTTTCCTTATCTGGAAAACAGGCCTTGCTCTCGGGGACTCCCCTCCCTAATTCTGGGCAGTACGCATGCATAGGGCAGGCCCTCAATGAACTCTTATAGAATAAAGGACCGGCTCGTCCCCAGCACCTGGCTCAGTGCGTGTAAGCAGCTACACCCTACGGCATAAGATGTTCCCATTTTAGGCCGGGCGCGGTGGCTCAAGCCTGTAATCCCAGCACTTTGGGAGGCCGAGACGGGCGGATCACGAGGTCAGGAGATCGAGACCATCCTGGCTAACACAGTGAAACCCCGTCTCTACTAAAAATACAAAAACTTAGCCGGGCGAGGTGGCAGGCGCCTGTAGTCCCAGCTACTCGGGAGGCTGAGGCAGGAGAATGGCGTGAACCCGGGAGGCGGAGCTTGCAGTGAGCTGAGATCCGGCCACTGCACTCCAGCCTGGGTGACAGAGCGAGACTCCGTCTCAAAAAAAAAAAAAGATGTTCCCATTTTGCAGACGGGGAAACCGAGGTTGGGGAAGACGGTGATAGCCGTCGGGGGCTGGGTTCAGTGTCGGAGGCAGAGCGCAGGGCGCGCACGCTGCGTCTCCGGCCCGCGGGCGCGCACGCCCAGCGGCTGACCGGGGGCGTGGAAGGGGGCGTGGAAGGGGCGTGGCCTTGCGGGGCTGTGAGGATACCGCGGCTGCAGCTGTCGCGCCAGTCGGAACAGAAGCGGGTCCGAGGCGCAGCCCAGTCCCGCCATGGAGCAGCCGAGGAAGGCGGTGGTAGTGACGGGTACGCTGGCTGATGGGGGCTGTAGCGGCAGCGGCCGGGGCGGCTCCGGGACTGCGGGGCCGGGCGGGGCAGGTGCTGGAAGTCCTCCCAGATTTGGAAGGTGTCATCTCCCGCGGGAGCCCTGCGCAGCCCAGGCTTCCTGGAAAGTGGAAGAGGAGGAGCCTCGGGGGGTACCAGGGTCGGGAGTCAGGGCAGCCAGGCGCGGCTACTGGGGGGCCGGGCAAATGCCCGGCGCCGCGCAGGTCCCCCTGGCGTCCTTTCCTCCCAAGGTAGGGATGGTGACCCTCCTGGCACCTGCCTGCTCTGTCTGGCCTGCGGGCTGGACCGGACCCTTCCTCCCTGCCCCTTCCGAGGTGCGGCCTGTCCCCACACCGCCCCCCCCCCCGGCCCCAGGGGACAAAGGCCGATTTGCGGGCAGGAAGTGTCCCAGTGACAAATGAACCTCCCAGTCACTGCTCGCCGTGCCCTGCGCTCGTGGGGGGCTGCTCCCCCAAGGCAGGGACAGGTGGGAGTCCGGGGACCTCGGGCGCCGGGGCTCTCCCAGCTGTCCCAGGGACTGTCTTCAGCGGAAACCTTTTGTGTTTTGTGCCGGGGCTGTTTGTTGGTGAGTCAGGGCCCCCTCTGTCACCAACTCCCCCCCACCCCCAAACCAACTGTTCCTCCTCTCTGAGACTCCGCCTCGGGGCCACGTGGGGCGCAAACTTCCGCTGGGGCCTCAGAGTCAGGGAATAGGGGGTGTCATTTTGACCTGCTGTCTGGAGGGGTCAGAGTGAGAAGTCCCGCAAAGGTGCACGCAGGTGTTTTGTGGCTGTTGAAGGGAGGTTGAGGCTGATCCTGGAGATTCAGGGAAGAAGGAAGAAACCAGACACCTGCTTAACAGGTGTGTGTAATTGGGAGGAGGGTCACTGCCCCCACCCCCTCCAGCCTTCCTTGATCTGGTTATTTATTCCAGCACTTTTTGAATGAGCTGATTACATCTTGACTGTCTCCATTTTGCAGAAAGGGAAACTGAGGCTCACAGAGGTCATCCAGTTTGTAAGGGGCTGAGCTGGGACTCAAACTTCGGCTGTACAGAAGGATAGAGTTAGGAGGTCCCCTTCTGAGCCACAGCCCCTACCTGCTATCCCAGGCTACAGCATCTCTGCATAGCATTTATATCCTGTGGGATCACTGGCCCAGATGGACCGTATATTGTTTTGTTTTGTTTTGTTTTGAGACGGAGTTTTGCTCTTGTTGCCCAAGCTGGAGTGCAATGGCGCGATCTCGGCTCACTGCAACCTCCGCCTCCCGGGTTCAAGCAATTCTCCTGCCTCAGCCTCCTGAGTAGCTGGAATTACAGGCATGTATCACCACAGCTGGCTAATTTTTTGTATTTTTAGTAGAAACAGGATTTCACCATGTTAGCCAGGCTGGTCTCGAACTCCTGACCTCAGGTGATCTGCCCGCTTCGGCCTCCCAAAGTGCTGGGATTACAGGTGTGAGTCACCACACCCGGCCCCAGGTCTGGATTTGAATCCCAGCTCTTTCACCTTCTTGCTGTGTGACCTTGGGCAGCTAGCTTCACCTCTCTGTGCCTCAGTCCCTGCTCCTGGAAACTGGGCCCAGGAAAAACCCTCGCCTGAAAGGGGATGTGGCCAGGTGGAATGCCAGGAAGATCACTTAGCACAGCCTTGGGCGACTGTCGTGTTTTGGAAAGGGGGGCCTGGAGTTTGAGCTAGCAGTGAGGAGGGTGACAAGGTGAAATCTAGACAGCCCATAGGGCTCATTCCTGATTTGGTGCCGATTCGGGGCATTTCGGGACAGTGACACAATAATTTTAGGTTGGGTCAAGGGGAACAGAGGAAGTGGAGACAGGATCAGGACAACCTTTTCGGAGGCAGAAGAGACCTCTGGATCCTGGCTGAGCAGGAGGGGCCGGCAGAGGTGAAGACAGGAAGGGACCCGTTGACTTCAGAATGGACAGGTGCAGGACGGCGGCTCTGACGGGCCTCCAGGTGCTCCCAGAACTCAGGACCAGGCCTGCAATGTTGTCCCTGGCAGCTGCGCCCTGAAGCTCCTTGCTTGCTTCTCCAGGTGGGAGTAGCGGCCAGGGGAAGACTGGGAAGGGCCCCTCTTGGGTAATATATTGCTTTTCCTGTTTTTTCAGGATTTGGCCCTTTTGGGGAACACACTGTGAACGCCAGTTGGATTGCAGTTCAGGTAACTTAGATCCGGAGGGTGGGAGTCAGGCTTGGAACTGGGCACTCCCCTGACGTCGAACGTTAGGGCATCTGAGAAAGTCTCCTTTCAAGAAAATCTTTTTTTTTTTTTTTTTTTTTTGGAGACGAAGTCTCACTCTCTCACCCCCCAGGCTGGAATGCAATGGCACAATCTCAGCTCACTGCAACCTCCGCCTCCTGAGTTTAAGCGACTCTCTTACCTCAGCCTCCAGAGTGCCTGAGATTATAGGTGGCTGCCACCACGCCCGGCTAATTTTTGTATTTTTAGTAGAGATGGGGTTTCACCATGTTGGCCAGGCTGGTCTCGAACTCCTGACTTCAAGTAATCCTCCTGTCTCAGCCTGCTAAAATGCTGGAATTACAGGCATGAGCCACTATGCCCAGCCAGCTCTTACAAAACAATGTCGGATCCACATATCTTCCTGGATAGTAACCACTGGAGCACACATCTGTTGAGTGTTTGCAGCCCAGAACTCTGAATCCTCCCAACAACCCCTGCATAGTAGGTGCAGTTATTCTTGCGCCCACTTAACAGAAGAGAAAACTGAGGCCCAGGGGAGAGACAAAGAGAGTTCTCTGACGTCACACAGCCAAGAAATGGGAGTGGCATTGCTTCAGAAGTGCCCCAGGCCCCAGCCAGTGGCTACATCTGGGTCTGGAGGGCCAGGTGTGGATATAAACATGGCTGGTTTGCAGGACACAGCTGTTTATGTGGTGCTGGCGTCTACTTTACCTAGGAATTATCCAACTCTAGGATCTCCCTCTTTTTTTTTTTTTTTTTTTGGCTCACTGCAACCTCCACTTCCCGGGTTCAAGCGATTCTCCTGCCTCAGCCTCCAGAGTAGCTAGGATTACAGGCGCCCTCTACCATGCTAATACCTGCTAATTTTTGTATTTTTAGTAGAGACAGGGTTTCACCATGGTGGCCAGGGTGGTCTCAAACTCCTGACCTCAGGTGATCCACCCTCCTCAGCCTCCCAAAGTACTCGGATTACAGGTGTGAGCCACCACACCTGGCCAGGATCTCCCTCCTTTTTAACAAAAATTTTTTCCATTGACTCAGACAAATCGTGACTCAGGTTGGTTTCTGAACAGCCAAAGTGAGAATTCTCTGGTATGTTTTGGGCAGTTAATTCATGGTTTCGGAAGGACCAGGCAGGAATATGTGGGGTGGGGTGGCAGGGGGACATGTCTTGACTTTGTAGGAGGGGGTACGGTGAGCCTCGCTGTCACCTCCTGGCAGCTGGGGGAGGAAAAGATGGCATATTAGGGGCTGAGGGGGGCTGTCATTCCGGGTGCCCTGAACAAGATGCCAGTCTGCAAAACCTTTCTAGTTTCTTTCCCAGATGGAGTATTTTGTAGGGACAGGCTGGGGAGCAATGCACAGAGAGAAACAAGGAAGTGTTTTTTGCTTATATAAATCAGACCGGCAGAGACCAGAGCCAAACTCCTGTTTATCCTAGTAGCCTGCTTGCTGCCTGATTGAAAGTAACCTCTGTTCCCACTCCAGAATCCTAGATTTGGAGAAAAATCTAAGTTGAAACCTCAGCGTGGCAGTTCCCAGCTGTACCCCCCCATTTTTTAATCACCCCCTTCCCTCCCCAACTTAAGACCTTAAAGTTTTGGCTGTTTCCCTTTTTTTTTTTTTTTTCTTTCCTGCCCACTTTGTGAACGGGACGGAGGGACAGGGTCCCGGGACCCTGCAGATGGGAGCGTGCCCGAGGCCCTGCCTGCTCACCCGTTCCCCGGAGAGCCAGACAAAAAGAAACAGCGTGTTTCTGAAGACTTGTGTGTCAGGCTTTGTGCAGATTTCAGACAGGAGCCTTCACGGGGCTGAGTGGACACAAAGCCGGGTGTCTGAATTCCTGGGCCCCAGACACTGTGATCTGCATCTAAATAGAAGAAAAATCAATTAAACAATCTTTGGAAATCCCTCTGAGCTTCGGGGCTTCTCGGATGGTGAAGGATGGCAGGTTTTTATCCTGTGGCCGGAGAGGAAATAGCCCTTCTCCTTGGTTATCCTCTCTCCAGACCTGCAGTTGCCACTTTTTGCTTTCTTTTTTTTTTTTTTTTTATCCTGGAACCACCACGTTCGTTCTTTGGTTTCCCAAGGCTGGGAGTGGCAAGCAACGGTTGTCGGGCTAACTTCAACCTCACCCCCTCCTGTGGGTTTTTTCAAGCGATTCCTCACTGCCGTCAGCCTCCCCTAGTAGCTGGATTACCAGCTGCCAACCACCCGCCCAGCCCTATTTTTAAATTTTTAGTTCCAGAAAAAAACGCGAAACAAATTTTTTTGCCCCCATTGACCA